AAGAATCGGCTTCATTTGTCTCTTTGACGAGTTGTTGAATGGTGCTAAGAATGGCGAGACGATACCGGCGAAACGTCTGGGAATTTACCACGTCCACGGTCCTAATCTGGAAATGATGATGCATACAATGGACTCCGGACAAGGTGCGTTCCTCTAATTCTCCTCCATAGTCTAGGCCCCGTCTAGCTCTCATCCTCACTCCAGCGGTAATCGAGCCCGGTTCTGCAGCTCATAATTTTCACATGTTACCACCACGCCGCATTGCCACAATCGCAGGGTGGAAGTGACTTTCACTTAATTTGCATACTCCTTATATACCATTTTAAGACGACTTTCAGTCTGTGCAGTGTTATGAAGGTATTCATGGGTCGATCCTACCCACAGCCGGCTCCGAGTTACTTTCAGTCAGATCCAATTTGATTTCATTTGGACGTTTAGGCCGATACAGTCATCGAGTGATCCTACTTGGGTTCCTGTGAGGATGTAGTGAGCCCATGCCTATCATGCCATTTGACTTACAGCATCCGAGTTGAATCTAATCTTTAAAGCAGCTTTAAACCAAGACAAAGTTAATAGAACTAACTGGCTTGTCTCTGCACCTTATACCACCTTACAACGGAATGGATTTCTATATACATATAACGATTTGTATAGTTCATTTTAATTTATATTATTATGTACGTATGTTTTGTGTGTGTGCACACACACATATTTTATGTTGGGGTGAGGCACTCAACTATCAGTGATGGTTCCATGTACTTAGAAGAGGACAATCTATCGTTTACTACTGAGATGCACCTAGAAATCGCCTCATCGAAAACCTCAACTTAGAAGGCAATTCAGCTCAAAATGTGCACGTGAACAGGAAAAATCCGACATTTTTCTCACGAATGAACTACGATTAGTAAGGGATATAAAATAAAGCAGAGATATCTTGTTATTGGGACCCAATTCCTCAATACGAAAGAAAGGGTTGTGCCCAAACCGTCTTGCAAGAAGTATTCAACAAGATTGGCTCATTGCATGGCCTATTTCTTGCCTACACTGACTTCAGAAAACTGGAAACTTTAGTTGTCCGGACCATTTGAGTAAATCAATCCATTGTGTGGAAAATTGTAGAAGTGACTTTTAGATAAAACGCTAATCTTACTCAAGATATTAAGGAATATCTGAGATTTCAAGCCTCGACAAACTAATCTTAACAATAGGGCTTAATCGAAGATATGAAGATCAAGACGGTGTGACCTTTTGTATAGTCGCGGTATCCTTTCATTATATAGAAGTTGCTTGACCTTGTTTTCGCAACTTGGTCATTTTGGCAGGAAGACTGAGAGGAGCACATCTTCTCCGGAGTCCATAGTATGCATGATCATTTCCAGAGTCAAACTGTGGACTTGGTATATTCCCAGACGCTATATTGACGAGTTGTAGTGTGATGCTAAGAATGACAAGGCGCACTGACGATGCCGGCGAAACGTCTGTGAATATATCACGTCCACGATCCGACTCTGAAAACGATCATTCATCCTAATGACTCAGGACAAGATGCGTTTCTCCTGCGTTCCTGCTAATATAGCCACGTCGAGAAACGAGGTCGAACGATTTCAATATGCTTCAATGTTGCAACTCACTATCGTTTATATTCACTACTACTTATGTCTACTCTTGTAAGTTCTGGAATAGGCTGTATCAGCACCAACAATGAGTTTCAAGCTCCTGTCAAGCATGCCCAGAAAAACCACTTAACTCACCAACCCAAGTGGGTTTAGTGTCGATGAGGATCAGAGCACGATTATCACCGAATGCAAGAGGCCCTATTTGGTTGCAATCCGTTTCTAGTAATACAATTGCGACAAATTCGTTTGTACAGTCGAATTCAGTGCAACCCTGTTCTTGTGACGAGTATCGGAGGCACCGGACTATCAGGTACTGTGGAATGAAGGGGATTGAAGCGTTGGTTGCCCAGCGGCGTCTGCCTCTAAACAAGCATGGAGCGACACTTTTTTCCCGGGCTGAGCCGAGGCTGTCCTCCATGTTGAATAAAAAGCATTCGTAGGGCACTGGGACGACTGAAAGCCATCAATGAGTCAAGCCCTCTTGTAAATTTAGCATAGAGGGCATATGCTCTCTTCTTCAAAGCAAATTATGTCTTTTGAGGAATGAATGAGTTGAGCCGAAGCCGAAAGTGGTTGGTAGAAGAACTTGCTATCCTTCAAAACGCCTCATTCTACCGCGGACTCTCAAAACACGAAAAGGAGTTTTTAACGATAGACGGTAGACAATTTGCGCTTCTTGGCTGTAGAGGCCGTCCCGAAAATTTTTGCGATGTGAATTTTAGCTGAGACTACATAAGGAAGGACTACATAAGAGTAAGGAAATCACAAATGTAGTTTCCATTTTCGACAGCAAAGAGCCCAAATAAGCAATTTATTGCCAAGAAAATTTATCTTATTCAGAATCGCGTAATCAAATTTGGTGGTGAATGCTGGAAATCTTGAAAGAATGGTTGTGGCCGTGACGAAAGTCGGCCAATTTGGTAGTCTAAGACGTGTCGAGTGAGACCTCCACAGGCAAAAAAGGATAAGTACCACTTTTTCTGTGGATTTCATTACATGGTCTTCAAGCCTCGGTCTTAAGAGTAATCTCAGCCGGACACAAAATCGCTATTTTTAGCACAACCTTGCCTCACACCACGATTTTCCAACACTGCCGGAGCGCCAACGAGTGATCATATGCACTTGATTTTGCTTCTCCTACCGAGACAGTTGGTGTGGGAATGGGGATTTCTACGACAACCTTATCGTCATAATTGCCAAAAGAAAACGAGCCATGCTAGAGAAGATGGCTTCGGCTGGGAATTTTCTGTCTCCAAGTACCAACAGAGATCAAACTCGAGGGGAAATTGAAGGATAAACGCCATTCTATCTCATAGAATTAGGTTAAAAGAGGTGGCAATATTTGGAAACTAGTCTTCACACGCTTGTCAACCATTTCCTGCTTCATATGAAAAGCGTCGCCTCATCTGACTAATTGTCTATAAGCCTTTCAAACCGGATTCCGTTTATGACATATTCGAGGATTTATTCACATGATATGGACGGAAAATATGGTAGAATGTGTGGGATAGTTATATGGAGAAATTCTCTCAAGCATAGATTCACACACCAGACGGTCTTATCATATGCTTCAGAAACCCAATGTTCCAGTTATCCTTTTGTCCACTTTCATCTAAATATCTTACGCTGTCTGTGTCTCTGTGACTGGCCTCATTTGGAGCTATGCCTCGATGTAGAGACCTTCATTTCATATGAAAGTGCAGGAAAAAGAGATTCGTAAGTTGATCTTACTGAAAAACATAGTCTGAATTCAGCTGTACTGCAGCCGTTTGGCTTTAATACGACTTTCAAGTTGTCCCAGTCCACGAGACATCTGCCCTCGCCCAGGATGAAAATAGACTAAGCCTTCATCCATCATATGATGGACATCATCAGAGCTGGAACTTATTCTTGTAA